TATGTAGATATCCATTTATCATAAGAAACAAAATTTTACGACTTGCACTTGGAAAATAATGAATACTTCAGTTTTGATTTTGACATTAACACCATATAGATTGCAATTTGCTGGGGACTGATGAACTGATTTTAAAACAAAATTAATAAATGAACTGAAATTTAAAAAAAATCAATATAATAAATCGGTTTTAAAAAAAAATCCTTAAATACATATAAAGTATGATTACATATTACTAGACACAAATTTTAATTCTTAAATAAAAGGTCTTATCCACTTCTTTAAGAGCTAAAATCCGACGACGTAGCGAAATTTTGCTACTTCTGGCAACACTGAACGATATCCTACTTATAAGGAATTTCGTCCAGAGGGCGTATCACTTAGCTTGAATCGCGAATAGCAACCCAAGAGTATTCTATGGAAGGATCACCCTGTATAAATTAAAAATAGTATTATTATACAATTTTCCGGTCGGAATTTGAAATGCAAAGCTAAATTACTAGCATATGCTTGACTGGTACAACTCTCGAATCAAATGCGCATTTGAGCGTCTCTTTTCGTTTGTGCTATTTGTTTGTTATTGATGTGATTTTAAGTTAACTTTGAATGGCTTGGATTTCTATTTCTTTTAATTAAAGTGAATAATGTTTGTTTTTATCTTATGTACGTTTATTTTTGTCTAAATAGGTACCTACTTATTTTTAATAAAAATTAACATAACGATGGCTCAATCAAAAACCGCCACAAGTCAAAAAACAAAGAAAATTCATTTTTGGTTCAATATCATTGAGTTTTTATTTTAAATACGGCTACAAACCAAAATATCCTTAGATATGCCTAAAAATCATTTAAAATCTAGCCACAACTCAAAACTGTATCTAAAACTGCCTCAATTCGGATTATTTTCTGCAAAAACATCCAATTTTTTTACCAACTACGCAATAACTCGAGTTACTGAGCTTTTTTAATCGTAATCGTTAATTTTAATAGCAAAATGTCGTAGCTTTTAAATAAAATATAAAGATTTTATGTTAAAAACAAAATTTCAATGTGAAATTTTTCAAAACAATAGTATTTTAGTTGTGGCAGTATTTGATTGAGCAATCGATAATGTTTCAAAATTATACATTCAAACAGGTCGTTCGAGACAGCCAAATAAATGTGGTAATTTTGTCCAATTCCATTGCATTTTGCGTTCAAAAAAATACAAGTCACTGATAAAACAACGGACGAATAAATGGACTGACATGCGCAGTGGTTAGTTTAGTAATGCATCCATGTACTAATCAGAATCATAGATTACTTGAATAGATGGGAAACTCAATGGTAAAATTATGAGTCGATGTGCTGCCATCTATCAAATTGGAGTGGTACTAAAATTCAATATGGCCGCCACGAGCGGGCTTTTTGAAACTTTGTAGTAGCGCAAAAATGTAATAAAGAAAATCAAATAAAGCAAAAAAATTGGAAAAATATTTGACTAGTTTTAAATCATAAAACAAACATATTGACTGTTTTGTGATTTGAAACTAGTCAAATATTTTGCCAATTTTTATCTTTATTTGATTTTACTTCATTATATTTTTGCATTAATTTCAAACTTGAAATAAAATGCAATTTATTTTATTTATTACAGTAAATTAACGCCGCATCATATAATTTGTCTATTTAAACATGGAAATACTCAAACAAATATGCATTTACACCATTTAAATAATTAAATATTTATAAAACAAACCTATCAAAAATGTTTTCTGTAACAAAATCAGCATATATAAGTGCTCAAGACCTTTATAAAAGTTTTGCGACTTGGAGTGGCAAATAAGTTTGAAAAAATTGAGGTTGAAGAATCCATCATCCTTTTTTACTATCGAAGCAAATTTGAGTGTGGATAAAATTTGCCATACGGTTATTGAGTTGACTAGTTAGGTTGAGGAGCATTTCTTCATCCGATAATTGTTTTCTTGATTCATTTATACAGCACTTGTAGTTATCAAATTTTTATTCATCATGTGGGCAGGGTGATAAATAAATTTAACTTTTGAGCATAAATTAAACTTACACACGTTTGGAACCTTGAAGATTTTAGGGTGTTTTCTTGTTTGATGTCAATGGCATTGAATCAATTTTTAATATTGATGGCTGAGGCTCAAATATTTCATCGATTGACAGGGTATTTTGGAGGGCCAACATTTTCTTTACAAAAATGATCATTTAAAAACTGAAAACAAAAAGAAATTTAAATACAAACCAATTATTTTAACACTGAATCAAATACAAGTTTGTAAATATTACTTACCGTTGGTACAGTGATGGTGCATTTTTCTTAAGACACTTATTACAATTTGGGGGACGACTGCATATTTAATGTGGTATAAATTGCATTACTACCAATATCTGGGAGTGCTTTATTGTTTGTTGCTGAAATCCATCTTCCCATCTTTTGAAAACATGCTTAAAATTGGAAGGTGTTGAAAAATAAATCTAGATTCTAGATGAATCAAAATTCAATACACCTTCAAATACAACAGCCATTTTATTTTATCTGAGTTTGAAGTTTTGACGAGCTGACAACTGACATGACAGTTCGATACGAGCGCCATCCCGTTAATTGGAGTGGTACTAAATTACCAGCCTCATGTTTTTCCATTTGAGTTACCAGCCCCTGGTCAGAATGAAGCTGTTGGAACCTTAGAATATATAGTCAGGAAGGATGAATCCTAAACGACCTTGGAATCGCGATGGTATCTAATTTTGACAGTGAACTAGACGAATATGGCGACAAGTGTTTCCGGTCTACCAGTGACGTACTGTCATAAAGGGGCGTAGAAAAGAAAATAATAAATTCTCATTTGCTTATTATCTAAATTGACCGATTTCTCTCATTTTAACGAATTGCTATTTTCTTGTCAGAAGTTTGCATTTTTTTCTTATTATCCTTCATTATGAGAATAAATTTTACTTTAAAATTGCATGTTGGGTGGGATAAATATAGGAAAATATTTTTGGGATAATTTATAGAAGGATTTCATTTGAAAAATCAAAGCAATAATGTATTAAAAAAAAATATTGACTTTTTTACGTCTTTATTATGACAATGTCTTTAATAATCTACATTTTACAAATTATTTAGGTTTGAAAAATAAATATGTTTTGTAGATATGCATTAAAAAAAATTAAATATCCTATACTTATATTTAGGTCAAACACCGCTGTGATATTTCTTTCTAGATGTTTTTGTTGGAGTACATATAAAACTTCCAAATATCGAAGAGAATTTCTGATCATTTTATTACATAATATTATTAGTAATATTTTTTGCAGGACAATTTTGCATAAGCAAGTAAAACACCTTTCCAAGAAAGGATCCTATAACGTAATAATGATTCTATGAGTGCAAAATAGATTATTTTTAAATGTACATTCAACGCATTATTTGTATGCTTAGTCCAGTTATGATGAGAGTCAATTTGTACTCTAAGGTATTTGATATCATTTGTAATACTTATATGAAGGTTTGTAAGTTTTTATAATTAAACCATTCGAAAAATTTTATAAGATCTGTTCCTATTAATAATTTTAATCAATTCCAGTTCTCTGCATTTTACAAAATAACTGTGTGGTCTGAAAAACTTACAATATTTCCATCTGTATTTAAACGACAAATTATTTAAAATAAAATTAAACAAGATAAGACCTAAGTCAGTATCTTGAGGTATGCGATATGCTGCTTATTACCTTAGTTGAAATATTATTAATTTTTTTGTGTTCGTTTTTGTAAATAACTTTGTAATAAATTATATAGGGTGCATCACATTCATACAATAAACTTCTATTATACGAAAAAAACGGCACATGATATAGTTAGTAAAGAATTTATTTACTTATATACTTCAATCGAACCACTTTTATAGTTGGTAGAAGTCTTATTCTTGGTTTTGAGGTTCGATCAAAACAATCTGCTTTAAAATGGCGTGAACACAAAAAATTAAGATATTTTGGCTCCCAATTTGTTTGTTGCATGAACTCAAGCCATGACTTTGTTTTTTGAGAATCTTTAGGAAATCTGAAAATTGTCTATCTGGGATTAATTTATATAATTTGTAAATCTAGAATCTTTAGGAAATTGTTCACTTGCAATAAATTTATAAATCTAAATTGAACAATAATTTATTCATTTTAACAACCACATAAATATCTTAAAATTGCATTAAATAATTTTTTAAATAAAAGTATGTATACCCTATAAACCATGAGACTACGCCTATGAGCACATTTGATCGCAGACGCACTTACCATGTTTGTTTACAAATTTAAAACATTAAAAATTTTAAAAATCTTTAATGTGGTTGAAAATTGAGAGAACAAAATACTTGCTTATAAAATGTAGATTATTCCTTTCTACTTTTAGCTGTGCTGCTATATCCACAAGACGAATAACTGACCATATTGTCTTGTTTGTCTTTTAACGCGGAAAATTTAAAATTAACAGTAATACTAAATAAATACTAAAAAACTAAACACTAAAAATTTCTACTAAACATACCCTTGATTCAAGTTTAAATTAACACATAAAACATCCAAATTATTAACAAATTTTAATCACTAAAATTATAAACCAATTTTAAAAACCATTTATCATATGATGATGAGTCATCCATAGTACAACATGGCTACCACTTCCGTCAGATCGATTAGATTAACACGGACATGGCATGCTCCTTCCTGACTATATATGTTCAAAGGTTGGAACAAACCTTTATATTGAGTCAATATGTACGCCTAAGTGTAAGCATAGACAATAACTCAAGAAGTAGAAGGGCGAACCATTCTAGAGTGGTATAGTTAAATAATTGATCAATTACTGATTACTTATCAACTGATTCTCGGTGCACTCGTTTTAGTGCTTAATATATTATATACAGCTATTACTTTCCAACAAAGCATTAAAATTGAGTTTCTACAAAAAAAAATTATTCGTTTCTTTGCAATCTATTTAGGTCGTCTGCTCTTTGCTGGCTACAACGACTACACAGTCAATGTATGGGATACATTAAAATGTGCACGGGTTTGTTTACTATATGGACATGAAAATCGAGTATCTTGCTTGCAAGTCTCTCCTGATGGTACTGCACTGTCTACGGGTTCTTGGGACTACACTCTAAGGGTAATTATTATTATTTTTTATATTAAAAATTTAGAAGAAATTGATACCTAACATCTTCTTTATATTTCTATTCTAAATGGCATCATTTCAACTAATTTGCTGTTAATCAAAACGTATTACAGTGTAGTGATTATATAAAACATGAGCCAAACAAAGTTGACAATGTTGAGTTTTTAGGTAGTTTTGGGTTTTAAAATAGTATAGTTATAAAGTAAGTTTATTAGATAAATAATCATTTAGTAACCAATTCTATAAAATAAATAAAGTTAGAAGTTAGGTGTTGACTTACATTTTATTTATATTATTATCAAGAATGTATCTATCTTAAAGCATACCATTGTAATAATTTCAATAAAAATAATATAGTTACATACATTAATTACTTATTTTACTACTAACATGAGAAATTACCATTATTTACTCTATTTGACAACAAAACTCCCAGACTACTTGATATTTCGAAATATTTGAAAAATAAGTAGGAAATAACTAAAGCTGGGTTTATTAAAATCTAATAAAATCAAATATGGTAATATATCAGTGTTAGTAGTAAAAAAAATCTATATATACTTCAGATGAAAAGGCCGTTATAAACCTCTCACATTATGATGGTGCTCGGTCAATAATAGCTCACTTCTCAACCTAAGTGTATGATGTACTATTTTATGATCTGCAAAAAAAAGAAAAAAAATGAATATATTTATGTCAAAATTAATGACAGATTGATTTGTTTTTAATTGGCTCTTTTTTGTTTATGGTTCTTTTTGGTTTATCTCTCATTTCTGAATGACAATATCAATTTTCAAATCTTTTAACCAATGAGCAAACTATGTAGGAAGGAGCAAACCTTATTTTAATAAAACGGCTTGGTAGGCTTGTTTGTATTTTTATTGGTGGGATATAATTGATCATCCAGTGTTCGACCACATAGATCATATTTTTTTATCCAGTCTCTATAGAAATTTTGGTATTAAAATTAAAGAAAATCGTACTTTCCCATAAAAATAAATTGTCAATTATAAAGGATTTCAAAGAATTCCCTACAAATGGACCGTGTTAGTGAGACGTCTCTTTTTCTAAAAAAAAAAAAAAATAACTATAGCAACAGCTGTCATAGATGGCAAATTAAATATGATAAGTTTTGTTCTTTGATTATTTTGCTTTAAAAACTTTATTATAATCAAACTATATACATTGCAATATTTCTTCGGATATAAATCGGTTGGCTGATGTTTGCCTGCAAAGGTAATTGAATTGCTTTTAGTTTGCAGTTGCATCTCCTTGTCTTGCGACATTATATGCATATTTGGATGTTAAACTGTAAACGGTAAATAATTTCGAGTTTGTATTTGGGGCGTGCGTTAGTTCGGTCAGGTCTTTCCTGGAAAAGTGATAAAAAGCAGGGTTGTCGTTGTCTATCTGAGTACAGGTGACGAATCGTTTATGATTTTCAATTTTCAATCTCTAACGGTTTGGTCTTCTGCCCGACAAGGAATCAAGGGACGCTGGTTTCCATACAGAAAGTTACAGAAGAATGATACTTAGCCGACGGAATCTTGTCGAATTCGCGCATGAAGTATTATGGTGTGGAATATGGCCATGAGCAGATTAAAATTTATTTTCGATCAGCTGGCACCTCAAATTCGTAAAAACCACGCCTTCCCAGCTCAATACGTCACCGTGACGTAGTATCAATCGGCGTAAAATCATACCTTGTTTTTATAGTATCATGTTAGTCCAGTAACTACGTAAATTTACCTGGAAAAATTCGCGGAAGTTTTGATATTTTGTGATTTTACGTAGAGCTGCTTTTTCCGAATTTTTACTTTGCCGCTGTCGCCTCCATATTGCAATAAATTGTAAAAAAAGAGATTTTTCAAGATATCTCGTTACTCGTTGCTTTTGCAGTAAGAATGGTTATGTAGTAAATTAAACTACATAATTTTCTCTACCAAATTGGTTCTTATCATTTTTTTCATAAAACCAACCGTTTTCGTGTACGAGAATTACAAAGTTGAGCGAGTACGCAGCGTGCAAAGCAATACGAATTTTATTCATTGAGCCTACCGCTCGAATCTAAAAGTTGGATACGGATCTCGTAAGCTGATTGACACCTTGGCTTCACTAGGATTTTGTTCCTTGTACACAAAAGCAACACTTTTTGAATTTTTTTGCTTTGATGCGCCCTCCTTTGGATATTGACGGGAGTGTTTTTTCACAGTTCGTTTTCGACAATGTGGACTTTAATACTCAAACCCTGGATGGCAGAAATACTTTTCATGTCATGGCAGGCATCCATTGTATAACGCCCGCAAGTGCCATTGCTCCAGATCACAAAAATGCCGTCGAAAATTCTGGTAGCATTACACTACGAAGCCATGAGAAGATAAACTGTTCCAGTCCACAGGTAATTCCTATTTTAGATCTCTGTACTATTTCTTCAGTCGCAAATACAATAATGTCGTCAACTTTAGATCTGCTGTGGCTCTATGGGAAATGGGCTGATTTGCCCAATATACCTGGATGGAATGGATTTATGAAAGAAGTGAGAGTAAACCATTCATATCAGAAATCTTTTATAGCTTGTTTGTCTTTCATTAATACATTACCGACTAACTCCGACATGATTTTTACTGTTTTAGCATCAGCCTCTGAGAAACGTCAATAAATCGGCAAACATATTTCATCACTTTTTATCAGAAACTGTACTTTAAAGCAAAACAAATTGTCTGTTCGAGTGGCATGAAAGCAAAATTGAGAATATCGTTATACGATTAGGTGGCTTTCATTTATTGATGTTCATGGGAGCCATAAGGTATATTATGAATGGTAGTGGATTGATTAACGCTTCTAAGTACAATTTTGGCACCGAACTCACTTGAAAAGATGTTATCTGGACAGGGATTCTTATGTGCGAACTCAACACGTAACGAATCAAATAGAGAGAGACATTACATAAGAATCGCATTCTGTGGGACGAAGATAGTCGTCTCAACACGTGCCGTATTGAAAGATAAGAATCTCAATGCAGGTCATGCATACTCTCGTTCGTGCAGAGCACATGTGTCCATCTCGCAAAATTGATCATGCAGGAAATTGATTTATCACCAGACCAACACGTGATTTCGACAGTCGGTAATACTTGGAGCAGACCAAGAAGAATGCGTCAAAGAATTAGCTTTAAAATTTGAAAATCATCTAGTAACGTGGTCCAACTACTAAATTATAGGTTTCTTACTTTCGCATGGTATCAGTTATGAAACAATTTATTGAGGCCGAAAGAAGCGGAAACTGTGACCTTCATGTTTATAGTATCCAGCAAATGTTGCTCTATTTTCATGCCAGTGGTCATTTTTTGTACGCTAAATGTGGCCATTTATATTTACAGGATATGTATAGTTTAAAAGAAAATATGAATCCTACAAAATAAAGGTCTTTTACAGATGGAGGTCGCTTCACAATCAAACGTTGTGACAAATTTTGGTGTGGCACATGGTCAGACATGGTTATTGAGAAATCATTAATGCGAACGATGAAAACCGTAGGTAGACTAACTTGCGGGCGTGGAATCCAGGAGAGCGTACTTTCTAAGTTGACTATGGGAATGTCATTCTTGTACAATATTTGTGACGCGGTTGAAACTTTTTGCAAAATAGAGTTAAGCACTTCAGAACAGCATGTTTAATTGAGAAGTTCCCGGATTAATTGTGATAACAATGATGTAAAAAAATTGATTAATGGATTGGTTTTCCCAATATTCGCCTTTCCAGCAATGAAAGAACCTATGTCAATAAGTACTAGAGTCATTTTTGCTGTAAAAGCAACTAGTAACAAGATATCTTAAAAAAACTTATTTGTTCACAATTTATTACAATATGCCGGCGACGGCGGCAAAATTACGAGGTGGCAAAATAAAAAATCAAAAAGAGCAGTTAAAAATATATCAAATCGCCAACTATCAAAACTTCCGCAAATTTTTCCAGCTAAAGGTAATATTATACAGCACTTAATTACTGGAGTATGTCTGGTTTCTGACCGGACGGAAGGCCTCTACGTTTTCTCTACCGCTAATCAGAATGCGATTCTATTGGCGTTGAAATTGAACTTGTGCGGTGTTAATTTGTCATTTTCTACATCTGTAAATTCTCAGGCTTTTGTGTAGACAACCATGCCTCCTATTTGCACCGTTTTTCGTAAAACTCTTCAGAAAATTGCATTATAAAGTTCTTATAATAAGAGGCATGTTTGTCTGTCTTTATCATTTAAAATGTTCGCACTAAAGTTTTGTTTCTCTTAATAAAGGTTTCAGTACATTCAGATATTGTAGGATAATTTTAGACTGTAGAAACACCATACCAACCTAATTGGAGCACCATACAGTTTTTAACAACACATTAATACTCTCAAAGGATTGATTGGTGTAGCACCAAATGGTGTAGGTAGTAAAAGCAGTGAACTAAATACTGGGTCCATTCAGAAAAACGTTTGAATAAAAACTTTTTTTGTGGATCTCATAAAATGAATTCCAAAACTCACCTTTTTATAGAGCATGGAAAGCAGCAGTCTATGCAAAATTAATATTTTCTTTTACTTTTTTCATATTACTCTTGAATTGGAAGCATATTAAGTATAAAGTTTTATACAAAGTACCTATATTTGATGATTTTATGAAATGAATAAGGTACAGATAAATGTATCTTTTATCTTGCATCATGTGAGTGAATATTGCTATTATACACTACTAAATTGTTCAATGCTTGTATAAGTAAAACAGTGGCTTTATACGTTATAATTATGTTCTTAATTTTTTTTTTATTAATTATTTAAAGTCCTCTGACAAAAAAGCATCGCATTTTTAACTACAGTTTGCACGTGTCTTCTTAATTCAGTTGCGCTTTGTAGTTTCTTAGCAGTTTAAACTCTATTAAGGTGCGTTTACACGAATACATGAAGTCACTTTTGAGATTATTTTGTCTACAAATTCTAGAACAATTTACTTT